CGACGCGCCCGGCCGCCTGCCGGCCCCCAGCACTCGGCACGGCTGGATGTCCCGACGTGCTCACCCACTGAACTCCGCCGACCGCACGCTTCCCTTTTCTTTAACCCGGAGAATATCGGCGATTTTTGTCCCCTGCGAAGGAGAAGAAGCGGGAGCCCCGGGGCTCTTGAGATGCAGCGAGATCCTTATTTATAGGCGCGCGCCCTGCACCCCGGGAGCCGCGCGTGGCCTGGGCCTCGGCCTTGAGGTGTGAGGTTGGATTGCGCCGGTCGACACTGGGTCCCGCAGCCTCTGCCCTTTCAATGCCCTGTCTGCCCTGGGACTGCTGGCCTTCCCTGGAGATCCGAGCGTTCCTGTGTGCCATGGGCTGTATTCAGAGCATCGGAGGCAAAGCCAGAGTCTTCCGGGAAGGCATCACCGTCATTGACGTGAAGGCCTCCATCGACCCCATCCCCACCAGCATCGACGAGTCCTCCAGCGTGGTACTCCGCTACCGGACGCCCCACTTCCGGGCCTCTGCCCAAGTGGTCATGCCGCCCATCCCCAAGAAGGAGACGTGGATCGTGGGTTGGATTCAGGCGTGCAGCCACATGGAGTTCTACAACCAGTACGGGGAGCAGGGCATGTGAGCACCCCGGCCCCCGGGGGGAGGGGGGAGCTGTGCCCAGCAGTGGGGTGGGGGGTGCTGGGGGTCCCGGGAGCTTTCTCCAGGCAGGTGCGGAAGAAAACCTACTGGGAGGGTTACTTGGTTTGTGAGTTGTTTTGTTGTCTTGTGCCTGAGTTGGACTGGAACTCAGACCCTGGGTACTGTGCCTTAGATTCCTTTTTTTTTTGTCGGTCGTGGGGCTTGAACTCTGGGCTTGGGTGCTGTCCTTGTGCTCTTCAGCTCAAGGGGAGTGCTCTACCGCTTGAGCCACAGAGCCACTTCTGGTTTTTTAGCGGTTTATTGGAGATGAGAGTCTCATGAACTTTCCTGTCCAGGCTGGTTTTGAACCACGATCTTCAGATCTCAGCCTCCTGAGTAGCTAGGTGTGAGCCACCGGCGCCCAGCTGTCCCTTAGATTCTTTACACTACAGCTGGCCCCTCTACCACTTGAGCCAAGGCCCCACTTCTGGTTTTCTGGTGGTTTATTGGAGATAGTCTCACAGAGTTTCCTGCCTGGGTTGGTTTTGAACCGTGATCCTCAGATCTCAGCCTCCTGTGTAGCTAGGATGACAGGCGTGAGCCTCCTGTCTCACTTGTTGATTTAGAATTGGGTTCGTGGCCTTGTCTGCGCCAGGGGTTCCTGTTTCTGAAGGAGATGCAGGTTTTCCCTGGGCCTGAAGAGAGCATCAGGGTCAACAGAGAGGCCCCGCCACCCCCAGGCCTCCATGGGCACACGTGGGGCCTTGAGGTGTTCAGACTTCCTTGTTCTGGGCTTTGTGTTCCGGCTTGAGATTGTCTCTGGGGGTGGCTGGGGGGTGTTTATTGTGGAAAATGGCGGTGCTGTGTCTGGAGGGGGGGAACTGAATTGTGGAGTGGGGTTCTAGACACTGTCAGAGGCCAGGGGCCATGGGCCCTCCAGGGTACCCTCCGCGGAATAGCTTAGAGGGGCCTGCAGGCTTGTTCTCTTCAGCCTGGTCTCCAGAATGTTCCTGGGATGTGGAGGACCCTGGATCCTGTTCTGGCACATTTCCAGCGTGGAATGGCACAGGATGGGTAGCCAGTGGGAGGGCAACCGTGAGGCAGGCTGTGAAACAGCTTTTCCGGAGCCCCAGGACCCTGAGAAGGACGGAGGGAGGGAGGGGAAGAGGAGGGAGGGAGAGAGAGCAGGCTTGGGAGCCCTCTGGGGTCTCCAGGGAAATTCCCCATGGAGCCTGTGGCACCCATGCTTCCTGCACCCTGTCCTAGAGCCCCTCCACGCCATAAGCGCCCAGTGCAACGTCACGCCCAAGCTCCACGTATGGAGGAGGCCGAGTCTTGGCTCTCACTGAAGAATGTTCTGGGCCATCTGGCTCAGGAGTGTGGCCTTCCTCACTTAAGCAACTCTAAATCCCCAGGGAAACAGGAAGATGAGACCAAACATGGCTGTCACCAAGGTCCCCAAAACAGGTGGACACCCTGTAGAGACACCCCCCCAAAAAAAAAACCCAAACGGCTGGGTGTTCGCCGTTGAGCCTTACTTTCTGTGCAGAGAGAGAGCGGGTGGAGGCCTCACTTTCTGTTCCAAGAAGGGGGAAGTAGGGGGCGGGGGGTTCTGTTATTTGGGGGAGGGGGAACTCTCCCCAAGAAGCCTTTCAACCAGAAACCTCCTGGGCTACGCACAGCACCGAGGGCAGTTGTTGAAAAGCAGAAGTTTTCCTTGGGTTCCAGGCTGCGTCCCGTGCGCGGTGTCTTCTCAGCTGTCGGCGAGGCGGGGAGCAGGGCGGCCTCACCTTCTGTGCTGGTTAGCCGAGCCGGGTGCGCCGCAGACTGCGGGCAAGCCGACCTGGGCTGCCTGCCAGGCTCTGCCACTTCCCAGGGCATGACTGTGGTCTGACCGGAGTCCCTGGCCGCCGCCGAGTGCGGGCATTAACTCCGACAACCTTGTTCCTCCACCAGCCCAGGGTCAGCCAGGCTCAGGTGAGGCCGACGTGCAGGCGGCCACCCGCCTTGAAGCCGGCTTTGTCCCTGTCAGAAGCAAGGGAACGGGTAACATAGGATATTGTCTGAAACAGGACAGCTGACATCTTGCAGTGAGTTTTCTCCCCAGCCCACAGAGCCAGGCCCATACATAGTGGATGTGTGTGTGCTGGGACTGGAGCTTGAACTCAGGGCCTCAAGCTCTTTCTTGGCTTTTTTTTTTTCTCCACAAGGCTGGCACTCTCACGCTTGAACCCCAGCTCCCACTTCTGGCTTTTTATTCTGGTTAATTGGCGATAAAGCGTCTCATGGATTTGTCTGGCTGGCTGGCTTTGAACCATGATCCTGAGATCTCAGTCTCCTGAGTAGCTAGGATTACAGGCCTGAGCTCTCAGAGCCCGGCACCATGCAGTCATTTTTTGAAATTAAAAAAATAGCACAATCCAGAGCTGGTTGAAGTGACTAAAAGCGGAGCCATTTTTCTTGGGGTCCATCTGCCCCAATGGCTCCTTGGCTCCCTGGGGCTCGGGCCCTGGCGGGAGCGTCCTCAAGGTGTGCTGAGGTTTGGGGGTCGGACCCACGGGGGGATGGGCAGAGATGGAGGCTCCCAGCCGGGGCAGCAAGGGCCACCAGCCTGGAGTGGCTGGGTGCCTTTGTGTCCTCTGCAGGTGGAGATGAGCGGACATCTCCCTCGGTCCTGACGATGTGGTACATGGCGGGGCAGGCGGCCATCCTTTGGGGGGAAACAGCGGGAAGCTGCTTTCTGGCCTGGCAGACCAGTGCCCTTCCTCCCGGTGTGTGCCCACCTCTGTGGCCACCAGGCCCCGAGGACGTGAAAGCCACGTGCAGCCTGATGGTGGCTTCCTCCTGAATGCAAATGGAAAGCTTTTAGATGGGACTTAAAAGCCTTCCTGTCTTCCCTACCCTAGACTTCCTGCGTGGGTGACATTAACCAGAAACTCTGCCAGCCGTGTCCCTCCACCTGCCCTGCCTGGCCCCAGATAGTTCTTCCTGTGGGGGCTGGCCTGCGTGGGGGTGAGGAGCAGGGCCATTTCCACAGGTACCTCCACATGTGGCCAGGGTCCCCCGGGAAGGGGCACAAGCTCACCCCAGTTGAGAACCACCAGATTGAGCCCCTCCCCACTTCTGGATCATTGGAATCATTAAAGTCAAACCCGGGGGCCAGGCACCAGCCATTTGGAGAGGGGACAGATAGGCGGCCGAGGCTAGATTAGGGCTTGTGTTCTCTGAAAATAGGCTTGTATTAAAAATATTAATTCCAAATACTTAACCGAAATCCTTAATATCCCCAAACATTATCCCTGCTCGAAATTAATCTCTAAGCCAGGAGGTGAACTTGTTAGCATGACATTCTGGGGTTTGAAATGCAACAAGGAAAAACAAAGCCAGCGCCTCTTCCCCAGCAGCCACAGCTCTCCATAGGCGGGCTGCAAGATGGCATTTCTCCGCCCGCCCCACAGAACTCTTAGACTTTGGGGTCCAGCCCCCATGGCTTTTGAAGTCAACCTCCCTTCAAACTGTGGGAGACACCTGCTGCGCCCACCACCTGCCAGCTGCTTGCTGTTCAGCCCTCCACGTGACGAGTCCCAGTTTCTTGCCAGGGTGGGAAAATTGCCGCTTATCCGTAGTTTGCCCTCTTGGGACCCCCAGGGAACCTGGCTGCACAGGCTGACTTGAACCTCGATCCTCAGGTTTCAGCCTCCTGAGCAGCTAGGTTACAGTTGTGAGCCCCGTGCCTGCTCTGGGTCTGTCTTTTACCCTGGCAGAGCTGTCGGCTTGCCCTCCTGTGGACCGGGCAGGCCGGCAGCTCCCTCCCTAGGCGTCGTGGCAGGTACAGAGGGTCCCGTGTCAGATCACCTTGCGCAGTGTGGAAGGAGTGCTTAGTTTTCCGTGCCCAGCTCGCGGTGCTGTGGCTGTGAGTCTTGATCACTCGTGATTGATCATCGTTCTGCCATTCCCGGCAGCATCAAGATCGCTCTGCCGCTATGGCGTGGCCTTGGTCCTTCCCCTTTGTTTCCGGTTCCCTCTGTGGTAGGAGAGCAGGGGGCCTCGTGTGGGTCTTGCTGGCCACATACACTGCCACAGGCTGTGCTGTGCTGGGGGAACGCTTGGCCGAGAGCCTGAAGGCGAGGCTGGGAGTCTTCTTCCTTTGCCTCAGAGCTGGGCGGCTGAGGCGGCCTGTGGGTGTCTGCGGATCTAGGGACAGGCCCTGCAGGAATGTCCCCGCTGACCACGTGGCCTTTTCCTGAGGCACTCGCACAGAACAATTGAGGCTGAGGCTTCCTCTCTGGGACCGGAAGGCGGCTTCCCCAGTGTGTTTGGCCGGGGCCTAGGCTGCGGCCAGAGGCCAGGGTGGGCGGGTGGGAGAAGGAAGTCCTTGTTTGTAGGCTCTGTGGTGGAGGAAGTAGTGGGGGATGGCCCAGCCCTGGGCCAGCTCTGGCTGAGCCTTCCACCTCCTCAGTGCAACAAACAAAAGCTGCAGCTCCTGGAGCACCAGCAGCAGAGTCCTGGCTGGCTGGCGTGGGGAAGAAAATCATCCAGGGCCTTGGCCCGCAGGCAGCTTCCGCTAGGTGAACTTGGCCTCTAGGCCCAGCCGTGCTGCCCACGGATGGGGGTTTACAGTGTTCATGCCCAGCCCTGGGCCTGGCTGGACCATCCACCCAGTCACCTGCCCAGCGAGTGAATGAACGAATGCATGGGCAAGTTGCTGGGACAGCCTTGTTTGTTTTGTCTCTGCACTGCTGCTAAGAACCTGGAACCCCGCGCAACTCCCAGGTTCCTGGTTATTATGGGCTGTCTGCGGGGCAAATGACTAGGTAGACACTAGTAACTAGTGTTACATTGTTGCAGGGAGTCCACAGTTTAGTCACCAGTCCTGCCTTATGTATGTATATCTGTCATGGGGCTTGAACGCTGGGCCTGGGCACCGTCCCTGAACTCTTCACAAGGCCAGTGCTCTACCATTTGAGGCACAGAGCTACGTCCAGCTTTCTTTATGCGGTGCTGAGGAATCGAACCCAGGACCTCATGCATGCAAGGCAAGCACTCTACCACTGAGCCACCTTCCCAGCCCATCAGTCCTGCCTTAAAGACCAGAAGCCAGTGAAGGGTGACTTGCAGGGGGCGCGGGGGGGACCGGTGCCCGCCCTCAGCAGTGCCAGGCCTGGTGCACCCCGGGGTCTGGGGAGATGGGACCACTGCTCCTGCACTTCAGGGAGGAGCCTGCTTGCTGCACACTGCCTGTGGGGCCTGCAGGTGTGGGCGCTGTTGGTGGCAGGTACACGTGGGAGCCGTAGGGTAGGAGCCCATAGTGCACACATCAAGAAGTATTATTGTGCACAAGACTGTACACACTGTGAAGGCTCAGCGTGTGCAGGGCTGTGGTCTGAGCTCAGGTCTCTGCCCTTGGAGCAGAGAGCGGAGGTCTGCCTTACCTCTCAAGGTTGCTCAGAGCAAACATGGGAGGCATCACGGTGCGAGACTCGTCACGTAGAAAGCTTGTGTAATAGAAAATATGAAACATGACATTAAAAAAATAAGACCTCAGGGGCTGGGAAGGTGGCTCAGTGGTAGAGCGCTTGCCTTGCATGCCCAAGGCCCTGGGTTCGATTCCCAGCATCACATAAGCAAAAAGGAAAAAAAAAAGCTGGAAGTGGCACTGTGGCTCGAGTGGTAGAGTGCTAGCCTTGAGCTGAAGAGCTGAGGGACAGCGCCCAGGCCCAAAGTTCAGGCCCCACGACCGGACCCAAAAAATAAATAAATAAGACCTCAGTAGTGGGGCGTTGGTGGCTTATACCTGTAAGCCTAGCTGCTTGGGAAGCTGAAATCTGAAGGCAAAGATCTCACCTCAGCAGGAAAGTCAGTGAGCCTCATACATCTCCAGTTTACCAGCAAAAAGCTGGAAGTGGAGATGTGGCTCAAGTGGTAGAGCACCAGCTACAAACAAGCAAGCCAGCGGAGAGCGCGGGAGGCCCTGAGTTAAAGCCCCAGTACTGGTAAAAGTCCGGGGTCAGCTCAGAGTTTAGTCTGTTTAGTAGGCTACCACTCCTCCAGCTGCTGCTGTCTGTGTGGCAGGTGGGATGTATTATCAAGTCCTGGAGCCAGGCAGGAGCCGGTGTCTGCTTAGGTGCACAGAATGAATGGTCAGGTCCCATAGCTCACGCTGTCCTTAGCCACGCCCCTCCCACCATGGCAGGTCACGTGATCCAGAATCCGCCGCTGGGCTGGTCCCTGGGCCTGAGTAACCTCACCTGTGAGACATTGCTGGCTGCCAGCTCATGAGGACTGTCACCCATCTGTGATTGGGTGGGGCTCAGGCTTGGGGGGCTGGGGTCTGTGGCTAGGCCAAAGTGAAGATTTGCTCCCTAAAATGCCAGCTCCTTACAAATGGAGGGGGCACTGAGGCCGGAGCTAAGAAAGTAACCTTTTGCAAGTTTGCTTTATGTCTTTGAAAAACACATTTTCAGACTGAGGTGTGGCTCAGTGCTAGAGCATTTACCTGAGAAGCCCAAAGTGCCCTGGGGCTTCAATCCCCAGGGCTGTCCAAACAAAAACACTAAAAACACTAGTACTGAGACTGGGCACTGTAGCTCATGCCTGTAATCCTAGCTACTCAGGAGGCTGAGATCCAAGGATCATGGTTCAAAGCCAGCTATGTCTGTGAGGCAGGAATGTCTGTGAGATTCTTATCTCCAAGTAACCACCAGAAAACTGGAAGTGGCACTGTGGCTCAAGTGGTAGAACGCTAGCCTTGAGCTGAAGAACTGAGGGACAGCGCCCAGACCCTGAGTTCAAGCCCCACTACTGACCAAAAAAAAAAAAAAAATTGTACAAGCTGGATGCCAAGACTGAGGTCTAGAGGATCACAATTCGAGGCTAGCCTGGGCAGAAAAGTCTGTGAGACTCAAAAAAAAAAAAAGCCATGCAGGGGGTGTGGCTCAAGTGGTAGATTAGTGGCTGAGCAAGCAAGTCAAGAAAGCATGAGACTGATTTCGAACCCCATTGTCACCAAAAAAAACCTAACAATCACCAAAAATTTCCTGTCCAGCAGATGTAATGATTGGCGGGGGGCACCTTCTTAAACGCAGCCTGGGCAGGCAGAAGCCTATGCCCCTGAGATTCAGGGCTGGCCCTCTGCCGTCCAGATGCCTCACAGCCCTGCAGAGCCAGGCTGGGTGTGGGGGGACCTCCGATGCCACCCACGCCTCGAGCGAGCGGACTGGCTCTCACAGGGCTGAGGCCCGGTCCCGAGCTCGCTAGCCGGACGCAGTGGAAGCCCACGGGAGTGGCCAATCAAGTGACCTGCCTGCTTTTCCCACAGGTCCAGCTGGGAGCTTCCCGACCTCCAGGAGGGCAAAATCGAGGCCATCAGCGACTCGGATGGGGTGAACTACCCTTGGTACGGCAACACCACTGAAACCTGCACCATTGTTGGCCCGACCAAGAGAGACTCCAAGTTCATCATCAGCATGAATGATAACTTCTACCCCAGCGTCACGTGGGCCGTGCCAGTGAGCGAGAGCAACGTGGCCAAGCTGACCAACATCTACCGGGACCAGAGCTTCACCACGTGGCTGGTGGCCACCAACACCTCCACGAACGACATGATCATCCTGCAGACGCTGCACTGGCGGATGCAGCTGAGCATCGAGGTGAACCCCAGCCGCCCCCTGGGCCAGCGTGCCCGGCTGCGGGAGCCCATCGCCCAGGACCAGCCCAAGATCCTGAGCAAGAACGAGCCCATCCCGCCCAGCGCCCTGGTCAAGCCGAACGCCAACGACGCCCAGGTCCTCATGTGGCGGCCCAAGTACGGCCAGCCGCTCGTGGTCATCCCGCCGAAGCACCGGTAACGCCAGTGCGCTCCGCTAGGTTAGACTCAAAGAATACAGCTCTGAGCAGCCCCGACGCACTCCGGTCATTCAGCAAAATACAACCATTCTACCTTGTCCAGCTGGCGGGTCTCACTGTGCTAATCGCCCGCCCCTCCCCCGGGCGCCCTCCTCTCCTCTGCCACCGGCTCAGCCGTTCCCTTGCAGCCCACTCCCTGCCACACTGCTTTTTGTTCGTGTCCTTCCCCCTAGCTCCTCTTTTGGGGGCTCAGGCATGACCGTGAGAGGTCCCTGGCGTCCATCGGCCTCACCTGGCCGGCTGGTGCGGTGGGGCCTCCCCTTCCTGCCTCCCCTTGACCTCTGCCACGCGGCCTTATGTATTCTTGCTTTGCCTAACTTTTTGCCTTAAGCTGAGTTGAAAAGGAAAAAGGAGATGAACAAGGGGATCACTTTCCTACCGGACTCTCCGTCTCCCGTGGGAGCCCCTCCTCCTGCTTGTCCAGCCATGGGGGAGGGGGCTCGAGGGGAGGATTTAGGCCTCAAACCAGCTGTTGATTCCTTGGTTTTGGCAGAAAAACAACCACAGCCATTCTAAGAGCTTTTCCTCTATCCCAGGCTCAAGCCCTAGACTGTGAGCTGGGAGGCAGAGCTGTGTCCCCTCCTGCCCGCCCCTCCTCCTCCCCCTCCCCCCCCCTGCAGCCTTATCTTGCCCAGGTGGTTCTGGTGGGGGGAGGGGGGAGGTGGGGAAGGAAACCTCCTCCCTTTCCCTTGGGGACCGGACCCTGTGAGCTCACAGCTTTTCCCTCTCCAGCCCTGCTGGTCCTGCGTGCGAAGGGGCTGGCCTGTGAGGCTGGAGTTGTCGGGGAAGAAGGCTTTACTGTCTCCCCATCTTAGCCTGCATGGTGAAGACTTGAATCCGGAACTGCAGCCCCTGGGCTGGCTGTTCACTGGTGCACTGAAATGGGGCCAGGACAGGGCTTCCAGATCATTCTCAGGGGATGCTGCTCCCCGGCTCGGGGAGGGCTGCGGCGGGCTCTGCGTTTCTCTGCTGGCGTGCACTGCACTGCCGCAGCCCCCGTGTGGCAGCCACACTGTGGCCAGGAAGTCAGGAGGCAGTTGATGCCCCCCCCATCAACTTGTCCTCTAAAAGCCTGGCCCAGGGCCGGCAGGGGACCCAGGTCAGCGGTGGCTTGGGGGGGACTCCACACCCCCTCCGGCTTGCCAGCCTCAAACCCCTTGTTCCAACCAGTAAGAATCAAGCACAGAAAAACTCAGAGAAAAAGAACCCATTTCTACTGCAATGAGCCACGGAAGGGTCGCTTTGGAAGCCTTGGCCTGGGGGATGCCATATGCCGGGGTCCCAGCCCGCCTCTCGAGAGCCGTTCTCTACTCAGGTCTAAGTTGCACTAAAGGAGAGGGGCTGGGAGAGAGAGAGGGCAGCCTACACCAGCCTTTCTGGAGACTCCGCCCCCTGCATGCCTGCCACGCCCACCCGGCCACCCCGCCCCTTTCCCTTCCACCACCCCGCCCCTTTCCCTTTCACCTTACTGCAGGGACGGGGCAGGGAGCACCCCAGAGACTGTGGGTTACCTCAGGCTGCTCAGCACCCCGGATGTCAGAGCACTGACCCCAAAGCTTCCTGATTGGGGCCCCAATTCCTGTGATGCCCCCCCCACGCCCAACCCAGTGGACACTCACCCCTTCCAGCAATAAGAAGCCATGGCCGCCCGTGGCCGTGGCCGGGGATGGTACTGTGAATGGAGCTGGTGCCGCACCAGGAGGCGCCAGGCTCCCGCAGACAATGAACCTGGTGGTTGTTGTTTTTCTAGGTTTAAAATAAAATCACAAAAAGGAAATAAAATTAATTTTAAGAGAGGTCTGGCTCTGAGATGATGTGTGAGGGTCTGGGCCCGGGCGGGTGGCTGCCCAGGTGCAGTACGCATGCTTGGGAAGGAAGATGGTGTTGGGAGCCTTTTGGTGCTGGCGGCTGCCGGGCTGCTAGTGCTGTGCCCTGTTCACAGCGGTCTCCACCACGGCCAGCTCTGGGACCGAAGTGCTGCGCCCAGAAGTGCCCTGCCCATCTGTGCCCCAGGTCCCGCCTGGCAGTGAAGCTGGGCCCGAGGCCCTTTGGCTTTTTGACAAATAGAACTGGCTTGAAAGTGAGAAACTACTCCCTAATTTGCCTCCCCTGTGGGCCTGCTCCCGTCTTCTGGGGGGGATGCCAGGAACGGGGCTCTGTTGGCAGCTGGAGAAGATGGGTGAGGATGGGGACGTGACAATGGCTTCTGGTGCTCAGGTAAGGGCTGATCGCAGGCTTAAAGTCTAATAAGAGTTTCGACCTACCTTGGTGGCTCACGCCTGCAATCCTAGCTACTCAAGAGGCGGAAGTCTGAGAAGTGAGGTTCTAAGCCATGAGTAGAAAAGTCCATGAGATGATCATCAATTAACCAGCCCAAAGCAGGAAGTGGGACTATGGCTCAAGTGGCAGAGTGCCAGACTCGTGCATGAAAGCTAAGCAAGAGCACAGGACCTGGAGTTCAAGCTTTAGTTCTTTAGTACTGGTACACACACACACACACACACACACACACACAGGAACTTGGGGTATGTTCTGCCAATTCCTGAAGGACATGCATTGAGTTCTTACAACCCACAAGGAGTGTCACCCCACTTGCTAGGGTGGGAAGTAGACGAGAGTCAAGCTGAGGCCCAGCCTCTGCCGGCCCAGCCTGAGTGGGTACCTGGGGTACATAAGTATTGGTTGCTATGACTAAGAAGCTATAGCTTCCCCCATCCTGGGTCCTCCAGGCAGGAAATGCCTTTCTCCCCACCCACTTCCCGGAAGTCTGCTGACAGGGCTCCCTGGCTCACCAAGAGCCTGGCTCGTTGATGGAGGAGGGGCACTGGGGTCCCCTGCAGCCCCATGGGGGACCGGAGGTCCCTATCCACGCGTGCTGGGTGCCAGCATTGGTTTCTTCTCTGGTTCTTTACATTGCTACAGGACACCAGGGCAGGAAGTGACATCACGGGCTTCCCACAACCTCCACCCGGAAGGCATCTGTGTGGCGCGCCCCCAGCATGAGTCCTGTGCAGGAGTCAGCTCCTGAGCACTGTTTAGAAGACGTGCCTGCGTGTGTGCATGTGTGCACGCATCTGTGTCCACACATGTGCATGCATGTGTGTGTACATGTACCAACAGGAAAAGGTTCAATCGTGCCAGGATGGAGCCAGATCTTTGCGGCACCAAGAAGCTGTGCAAGAGGGATCTGAGGAGCAGACCGCGGGACGGGGCGCAGCATGGAGGCCTCTGGTCTCGCAGTGGAAATTCTCCAGCCCTGCAAGCTGATAGTGGGTTAAATTTAGCAGTCCAGACTGGGCTGGGAGACACAGACACCAGGCTTGGCCTGGCTGTGCCAGGTGCCCTGCTCCTCCGGGGCCCGGCTGTCTGGGCGCTGGGTGGGGCGCCGTGAGATGTCTGTCTTCAGGAAACAGCTGCCTCTCGACCCTGCACCGCCTGTCCCGCCGAGGGTCGCTCTCTCCTGCCGGCTACCCTGGGGCCTGGCCCTTTTTCAAAGGGGACAAAGCCTCCCTGTGGGCTAGGCCACAGGGTCCCAGCGAAAAGCCCACAGGGCCCCACAAGGAGACAGGGCCACTGGGCACAGTGTTGGCCAAGGAATTCTCAAACACTTGGATCTTTCCATCGGCGCTACCTACCTCTTGGTCATGGTCACTTTGATCTTCTACAGACCCTGCTTCTACCTGTGTGGGGTCCAGGCACTTAAGGTCAGGATTTGAGGTGGCTCACATGTTATCAAAAAGCTATCCACCAGCCAGGCACTGGTGGCTCACGCCTGTCATCCTAGCTACTCAGGAGGCTGAGATCTGAGATCACAGTTCGAAGCCAGCCTGGGCAGAAAGCTGTCCACCAAGGTCATGGTCCCTGGATGCTGAGAAGCCTGCCCGGCCTTATTCCCGCTGCCGTGGATGTAGCTAGGGCTGCATTGCCCCTTTCTCAGATGAGGAAACTGACCTCAGAAGGGACTAAAGGCCTGCTTCCAGGCCACAAGGCTGGGAAGTTGTTGCAGAGCGGGGCTGGCAGCAAGCGCCAGGCCTTCAGCCTGCCCTGCTTCTCTCTGCACTGCAGGCCCGGGGTGCGCAGAGGCCCTGCCCAGCATGCCCAGCCCCGCCTGCCGCTAGAGACTTCCCATTGTTGGACCCTGGTACTGGGACGAACTTCTCACATCAAGTTTGGTGCTCTGCTACCCAAGCCTCAGTTCCACTTTTGGTTTTGAGGTGGGTTAATAGAAAAGTCTGCCTGGGTCATCTTCGAACCTCAAACCTCAGACCGTAGCCTCCGGAGTAGCTAAGATTACAGGCGTGAGCCTGGCACCTGGCAAGTACTAGAAAATTTTAATTAATTAATGAGGTTGTGGGGCTTGAACTGGAGGCTTAGGTGCTGTCCCTGAGCTTTTCTACTCAAGGCTAGTGCTCTATCACATTGAGCCACAGCACCACTTCAGGCTTTATGGTGGTTAGTTAGACACAAGAGTCTCACAGACTTTCCTGCCCAGGCCGGCTTTGAACTGTAATTCTCAGACCTCAGCTTCCTGTGTAGCTAGGATGACAGGCGTGAGTCGCTTGCACTGAGCACTGGAAACAAATACAAGGAAAGACAATGAGGGGTTGAACTCCATTTCTAACTTGCTTCTTGACAGGTCAGTCCCCAAACTGACAGCACAGGCCTCACCCGGCCCAGCTCTGCGCATCATCCCTGCGACAGTGCGCTTGGAATGCAGAGACAGGATTAGCTCGCCAGCTGCGATTTATTTTATCAGACGTTTTGGAGCAGACAGATGAAGGGTGGCCTGGCTGGCGGGCGACGCACAGGCCCAGCTGCGCTATTCTCGGCTGCCACTTGTCCTGCGGAGTGAGGTGAGGCAGGTCACCTCCTAATCTCCAGCCTCAGGGGGGAGGAAAGGCAGAGGGGTAGACGCAGACGCACGTTCACCTGCCCCGAATATGATCAACCAGATTACAATTTCCTAAAGAGTGAAGGCCTGGTGTCTTCCTAAAAAAAAAAGAGGAAGAAAATAAAAGCTGAGTGCTGGCACTCCTGTCTGTCATCCCAGCTACTCAGGAGGCTGAGATCTGAGGATCACAGCCGGAAGCCAGCTTGGGCAGAAAAGCCTGTGACACCCTTATCTCCAATTGACAAACAAAAAGCCAGCAGTGGAGCTGTGGCTCAAGTGGCTAAGAGCCAGCCTTGAATGAAAATGCTCACTACAGCTCTGCTTTCAGCTTTTTGCTGGTTCATTGGAGACAAAGCGCTCACAAACTTTCCGGCCCTAGCTGATTCTGAACTACAAATATCCAACCAGTATCATAGATGTGATCTCATATTTGGCCAACACTTGCTATGCGTAGTCTTTTCTTTTTTTTTTTGTTAGTCATGGGGCTTGAACTCTGGGGCTGGGCGCTGTCCCTGAGCTCTTCAACTCAAGGTGAGTGCTCTACCACTTGAGCTACAGCGCCACTTCTGGTTTTCTGGTGGTTCATTGGAGATAAGAGTCTCACGGACTTTCCTGCCTGGGCTGGCTTTGAACTGTGATCCTCAGATCTCAGCCTCCTGAGTAGCTAGGATTACAGGCTTGAGTCACCAGCGTCCGGCTTATGGTTTGTCTTAGTGTTTTAACTTACGCAGAAAAATAGAAAAATTGTCCATACTTTGGCAGTACCGTGTGATGCTGTGATATAGGTACACAATGTTTAAATCAAACACCAGCTCCCTCTAACAATGGTCGTTTCTGGATGAGAAAACATTCACTAGCCTTCTACCTGGCTCTTCTAAAGAGACAGTATGTGGGTCTGGGAATGTGGCTCAGTGGCAGAGCGCTTGCCTACCATGCATGAAGCCCTGGGTTCAATTCCTCAGGACCACATACACAGATAAAACCAGAAGTGGTGCTGTAGCTCAAGTAGTGGAGTGCTAGCCTTGAGCACAAAGAGGCTCAGGGACAGAGCCCAGGCCCTGAGTTCAGGCCCCAGGACTGGTTAAAAAAAAACAAAGCAAAACAGTACGTTAGTGTTATCTGTAATCAGCCGCGCACAACAGCACAGCAGCCTCTGGAGCCCTATTTGATTGATTAGAACTGCGCTGCGGCTCCTCCCCTCCCCAGCCCAGCTCCCCTATTCCCTCCCTGGGTGACTTCTTGAGCTTTTTTTTGCTCTACCACTTGAGCCACGGCTTCGCTTCTGCCTTTTTGGTAATTGGAAATAAGAGTCTCAGAGACTCCTGCCTGGGCTGGCTGGTTTTGAACTCAGATCTCAGCCTCCCCAAGTAGCTAGGATTACAGGTGTGAGCCACCAGCACCAGCCTTCCACTAGCTTCGCCAGTAAACGGCCTGCTGGAGCTGGATGGAGAGCTTTGGCCCGGCCACGGCGCTGTGGGGGAGGCCGTCCGACCCACGCTGCCTCCTGCGCCCACAGGGGTGGGGCCGGGGGAAGTGTGCGTGGGGAAGCGCTGGGGGAAGGTGAGCACCAGTCCTGCCATTTGTGGAGCTGGCACCACTCGGCGGGAATGTCTTGGGGTGCTTTGGGGCGCTTATTCCTGTTTTCAGAGGGGAGAGCAGAGCCAGCAGCGGGGTGCTTTGGAAGGACCAAGGCCGCAGGGTGGAGGCTGTGGGGGGCAGCCCAGGACTCACCCACCGCTACCGGCTCCGGGGAGGTGAGATGGGGGCGGGGGGGGGGAAGAGGGGGGCCCGCGGGGGGCGGAGGCTCAGGCTGCGCTGCAGGTCATCGGCACGGCACTGAGATGCTCCCCACAGAAGCCCAGCAGGCTCATGGCTCCACACCAGGGCAAATCCGTGTTCCCTGTAATGAAATGAAAGCAACAGGAAAGCCAGCAGCCCCGGGGGTGGATTTCCAGCTCCTTCTGGGGAGGCTGGCTGCCTGAGCTCCGCAGCGCAGCGGGATTCAGCGTCGCGCTCTTCCTGCTCCGCCCAGGCAGCTGGGGCTGAGAGGGGCGCTGCGCCGCCCACGCACGGGGACACGGGTGGTCAGGGTCACGGAAGGTCTGTCCTGAAGTGGACTGCAGGGGCTGGGGAGGGAGGAGGTGCTCCCATTGGGTCCCGGAGTTCCATTTCTAGGCCTGGGGTCAGGTGATGGAGCAGTGGGTGCGTGGCCGGAGCAAGGGCATGGGCTGTGAGCCCGGTCTGTGCGTGGGGTGTTGGTGCTGCTGAGCCCAGGCCCCAGGCGGCCGTACCTTCTTACTAGAGGAGCGTGGAGCAGATGTGGGGGGCAGGTGTGGGGGGCAGGTGTGTGGGGTGTCCTGGGCAGGGGTGCAGCAGTCACTCTTCACATGCCCTCATTCTTGCTGTCTAGGCTGTGGCCAGGGGCTGAGGACAGAGCAGGCTGGTCACTCCAGGTAGCTCGAAGACACAGTACGTGTTTAATTCTAGTAACTAAGAGCAAAAGAGTAATTGTGCTAGCCGGGTGTCACACCTGTCATCCTAGCTACTCAGGAGGCTGAGATCTGAGGGTCAAGGTTCAAAGGCAGCCTGGGCAGGAAAGTCCTTGAGACCCAGAAAACTGGAAGTGGCGCTGTGGCTCAAGTGGTAGAACACTTGCCTTGAGCTCAAGAGCTGAGGGACAGCGCCCAGGCCCAGAGTTCAAGCCCCACGACCAACCAGAAAAAGAGTAATTGTGCTGTGTGTTTCCCAGTAGTTGGGCTGCAGCACAGGGCAAGGTGGGGGGTCTAGACCTGCACCCCTGGGAAGACACTGGAGCTTCTGAGGAGCAGAAGGGTGTGTGTGTGTGGGGGTGGGGTGGAGGAGGGAGGGGCAGGGCCACAGTATCTATAGTACCTGGGACACAAGCTGGGTCTGCGTCCTTGGAGGCGCCAGGCAGGAGCAGGAGCAGGGCTGGGGGAGGGGCTGCGGGGGCTCCTTCCGGTCGTCCGCCCCATGGGCCTTGCTGTGCAGCTGGCAGTCCAGCCCCCAAAGCAATGCCGAGAATCTCCGGCCAGGGTTGAGGTATTGACAGCTTCTATTTAGAAGGCAGGAGGGGCTGGAGCAACTGTGGCCCCTGTGGGTCACTGCAGACTCTGGGGGGGCTCCGGAAAGCCCTGCAGGAGAGGGCAGAGGAAGGGTAGGCCAGACAGCTGAAGGTGTGGGGGCCGGCTGCTCTCCCCAGGGCCCCATCACCCCTGGGAAAGGGCTGAGCCAGCCACCTGTGTGGGCTGCGGGGCACGGCCTCGGCCCTCAACCACCCTCCAGGGCAGCAGTTTTTGGGGAACCGCACGTGGGGGAGGTGGGAGGAGGTGAGGCGCTGCTGTGATGTGGCTGCGGGTGGGTGGGGGGAGGTCGGTGGGAGGTGGCAGGGGCTGCTTCTAAGGCAGTGGGGGTCCTGGGGGAACACAGGCCGGATCCTAAGGCAGCCAGCCCGGGCCTGAAGGGGGAGCCCTGTTCCAGGGGAGCCAGCCCTGAGGAGTCAGTGTCACAAGTGCTCATGCGTGGTGCCTTCTATTCTAGGCGGAGGAGGAGGAAGCTGGGTTGGAAGCGCTGGGTGCAGGCGGTGTGCATCCCGCGCCTCCTCCCGAGTTCGGAGGGAGACCTGGGGATGGTGCACCCAGTTCCCCGCGTCCATGCTCTCCTGCAGCTTCTGAGCAGGGCAGGCACCCTCCGGGAAGCACTCTGCCCAAGTGGTGAGCTGGCCCAGTGAGGCCCTGCCACCCACCCACCGGAGGAACCAGGAGAGGCTCAGGTGCCAGCAGCGCATTCCCGAGGGCCTGGCGCGTCTCAGTGGGGCGGCTCCGCAGGGCACGGCTGATAGGGTGCCGCGCAAAAATGTCACATGCCACTCAGTGGAGGATTAGCAGGATCTGAGGTCAAGGGTTTGACGGAAGCAGCTTCTATTTGTAAAAGCAGCAGAGGGTGAGGAGGGTAGCAGGCTGCTTAGGAGGGTCCGGGGGAGGACATGGGAAGGGCCGGAAGGGTCATCCAGGTCCATGGCTTCCTGATCTGCAACTTTCCCCATCAAAACAGAGTCGCAAGCCAGGCGTGGTAGTGAACTCTTCCTCTGGCACTTGGGAGGCTGCTGAGGTCAAGGAAAGCCTAGCTGTATATCAAAACCACAAAGCCATGCTGGGCGCCGGTGGCTCACGCCTGGAATCCTAGCTACTCAGGAGGCTGAGATCTGAGGATCACAGTTCAAAGGCAGCCTGGGCAAGGAAAGTCCGTGAGACTTACCTCCAATGAACTACCAGAAAATCGGAAGTGGCGCTGTGGCTCAAGTGGTAGAGCGCTCGCCTTGAGCTGAAGAGCTGAGGGACAGCGCCCAGGCCCAGAGTTCAAGCCCCAAGACCGACAAGGAAAAAAAAGAAAAGCTTAAACCAAGACCCCCATATATAAACCAACAGACGTGCATGTGGGAGGAGGGGACCAGAGAGGCCCAGAGGCCTCCGGCGAGCAAGTGAACATGCTCCCAGAGGATGTGAGGATGGGACAGCAGGCGACAGTCCCCACAGACACTGTGGCTCAAGTCCAGGTGCCGGCTCTGCTGTGAGAAAGTCCCGCCCACCGGCGCAGATGAGCTGTGAGCACACTGAGTGGCCCCAGCCCGAGTCCCGCCCACCGGAGGACTGCGATCCGCTCTTCTCAACACCCCAGGCGAGCCAGGCACCCTCAGGGCAGACCGTGGCGTGGTGGGACGTCACCATGGTCCCCGGACCCCAAATAAGCCACAGGGCCCGGAAGTCACACTGCCCACACCACAGACCGTGTATCAAATGTTTATTAAAACCTTAAAAATACAACTTCCGAAGGTGTGAAATTCTAAGCCACGGCCCGGCCCAGGCCCCTGCTGCTGGCTCCAGCAGGAAGTGCTGCGTTGTTCTGTGTGTGTGTGGGGACCCGAGACCACCGATGGCCAGGCCATCCCGTCACAGCCAGGTCTCCCCGGTCCTGCTCGCTGTCACAGACGGGATATGGAGGAGAACCCTCAAAACACTGTCACCCCCTTTGAGGACGGAAGAGACAAGCTGTGGGCACAGCGCCAGGGCCACAGAGACAGGCAGCAGTGCCATGGGAGGCGGGGCGCAGCCGCGGCCAGCGCCCAGCCAGTCATGTGGCCAGCTGCCACGCCTGCCCCATGGCGGGCTGTGCTGCTGTTACTTCCGGAACAGAACTGAGGCTGTGGGAGGGAGACCATGAGCCTCTGACCCACCCACCTCCTCTCGGGTGGGGTGTCTGGTTCAGGGGCCTGGGGAAGATACCACAGGGATGGAGAAAGTTCTGTGGGGCTGTGACCTGAATAAACTCACATCCATTCTGAACAGCAACAGCCCGCATGGTTTAATAGCAGGGAAAAACCCAACAGGCATAGGACAGCCAGGCATCTCCCAGCTTTGGTCTCTTGTTTCGGGGTGTGTCTGTTTCAGGGAGACAGTCCCTGGGACAGACTGTTCCATGGTGCCCGCAGCCAGTCGCAGAACTGGAGGCGATGGGCGCTCAGCTTCTCCAGCCGCCGAAGCCCTGGGCAGACCTGCAGGAAGCGCGGCGTCAGCGCCCACCCCCGGCCCGGCTTCTAGACCCCCAGAACCGCACACTTCAAGAAGCACAGCGCAGGACGGGAAAGCTTCAGACACTACAGGGGGAGGACTGGGGGAGTAGGAGGGACCCCCCCCAAGCTGCGGCAGAATGACTGGCGTGCTCAGTCTCTGCACGCCCCAGCCCCCCCCCCCCCTGTCTTATTTAGTAAGTATGGGAGATGCCACTTACGAGTTGGATGATCCGAAGGTGAAGCCTGAAAAGAGGGAGGGGAAGGTCAGGGGAAGCTCCCCCCCCCCCCCCCCCCCGCCACGAGGACACAGGGAATCATGTGTCACGAGTGAAGATGCAGAGGCGATCTGCCACATTCCCAGGCCCTGGAGGCAGCTAGCCTGCTAAGGCTCTGGCTTCAAGTGCTCAAATCCTGAGCGGAAATGACGTCAGCATTTCTATTATTTGCTCAGAAATGGCCCAGCACTGCAGGTATAGACAGGATGCTTCCTTTATCACTGACTGCATCCATACCACTACACCAGCAGCCAGGCAGAAGTCTGGGTGCCTGGGCCCAGGGACGGGCAGGGGGGAGGGTGGCCTACCTCCAGAGCCCGATCCAAACCCGGAGAAGCTGCCACTCTGGGCCCCAAACCCTGGCGTCTGCTGGGACAGCGATCCGAAGGAGGGCGTGTTCTGGCTGGCCAGCGTGCCGAACGACGTGGTGTTGTTGCTGCTCCCGAACCTGTGCACCGGCCACAAAGGGGCTGTGGTCAGTGTGGGCCTGGCCCCCGCCTGCCCGGGATGTGCCCGATGTGGGCCGGCAGATTCCAGGGAGAGGCAGCGGTGTGGGGCTTTTCCTACGGTGCCCAAAATGGCTTCTTGCTGGCCGGCGCGCCACAATCCTCACTGCATTACCTAGGATTTCTCATTATCAGCTTGGGCATCATTCGGCTCTTGCTGCACATTGGTGCTGCTGACTTTTTGTTGAGAGACAGTCTCACTGCCACCCAGGCTGTCCTGGGCCTCGAGGGCTGGGGCTGCCATGCCTGGACATTCTCTTTGCTTTCCTTTTATTGTACCAATCTTGGGGCTTGAACTCAGGGCCTGTGCACTGTCCCTGAACTTTTTTTTTTTTGCTCACATCTGGTGCTCTACCACTTGAGCCACAGCTCCACTTCCTGCTTTTTGATGCTGAATTGGAGTTAAGAGTTTCTAACTTTCCTGCCAGGGCTGGCTTTGAACCACCATCCTCCGAGCTTAGCCCCTGGAGTAGCTATGATGACAGCCGGGCACTGGCGCCGGCTTCTATTCGCCTGTAATGAGGCACAGGTTTTCTCACACAAAGGTCACTACTGTAGGTGTCTTGTTTTGGTGGGCAGAGGGGATAGGGAAGTAGTTCTCAAGTCATTTCCTTTGGAATTTTGAAGGCCCTCACCTGGGGATGACCCCTGGGCGTCATCACAGGCAGGGTGCGTGTGTGTGTGTGCGTGTGTGTGCACGTGCACGTGTGTGCAGGCCTGTGTCAGAGGGATCTGGCTGGGACGGGGAAGGCTCTGGGGAGACCAGGCTGGAGAGGAGTTCATGACTGGGGGCAGACAGGCAAGTGGGAGAACAGCTACAGAAAAAAGCCAGAGCGCAGCAGGACCTGGCTCCTTGGAGTTAGGCGGGGCCTCGACGCGTGCACCCGCCAGGCCAGCATGCAACTCCGGCCTCAGATCCCACCAGAGCCCTCCAGACACTGCCAGGGGCCTCCACAGAGGCAGCGGATTCTAGATGCTCAGTGCCTGGCTGGTACTTGGGCCTGTTCTACAAGATGGAACTGGCCAGTCAGGACTGATGTAGGATCAGGATTCTTTTTTTGTTGTTGTTGGTCATGGGGCTTGAACCCTGGACCTGGGTGCTGTCCCTCAGCTCTTCAGCTCAAGGCTAGCGCTCTACCACTTGAGCCACAGCGTCACTTCTGGCTTTTTCTGCTTATGTGGAATGGAACTCAGGGCCTCATGCATGCAAGGCAAGCACTCTACCACTGAGCTTCCTTCCCAGCCCCGGGATCAGGATTCTTTTCTACCAAGTAAGCAAAGCTCCAAGACTTGCAGCCATGCAGATGGGAGTCCACCTGCCCACCCGAGGTCTGGTTACACCGATCCAATTGCTCCCTAACTCTGATTCTTGGGGTTTCCTGAGAGAGCAGTCAAAGATGGAAGGAAGGACTGCTGACTCCTCAGCAGCCAGCACCTTTGTGGCCAGCAGGGTGAGAACACACCTGAACCCAGACGTGGCAGCAGTACATGCCTGCCATCCAGCCACTCGGAGTAGAAATGGGAAGGAATGTGGGTTGAGGCCAGCTGAGGCCAAGAGTTAGCAAGACTCACCTCAATAAATAAGCCAAGTGTGGTGGTGTGCACCTGTAATCCCAGCTACATCTCAGATTTCAGAGGATTGTGGTTAGACTCCAGTCCCTGGCAAAAACTCACAACTCTTAAAAAGCAAAAAGGGGGGGCTGGGATGGTGGCTCAGTGGTGGAGCGCTTGCCTTGCATGCATGAGGCCCTGGGTTCGATTCCTCAGCACCACATAAGAAAAAAGAAAAAAGCTTGAAGTGGCACTGTGGTTCAAGTGGTAGAGCGCTAGCCTTGAGCTGAAGAGCTGAGGGACAGCGCCCAGGCCCAGAGTTCAGGCTCCACGACTGGACCCAAAAAAAAAAAAAAAGCAAAAAGGGGGTGCAGGTGCAGCCCAGTGGAAGCAGCAAGGCCCCGAGTTCAAACCCGGGTTCTGCCATGGCCCCTCTACAATTGCCCCAAATCTTCAGTTCTCGGCCTAAGCCAGCCGAGGGCGTGGCAGCCGGGGTCTCCCAGGATCCTCTTCTCAAACAACCGCACACATCTGGCTGTGGCAAAGGCTGTGGTTTTCCTTCAGATTCCAGCAACCAGACTGGAATTCTGGGGTCCCCAGAGTTCCCCTGCATTTCCCAGTGGGGATGCGTGGGGCAAGGCCCACACAGAGAGCACCTGGACGACCCAACTGGCCCTGGGGGACTGGAAACCCTCGCTGAGGACCGGGGGGAACAGGGACACAGGAGTCGTGTGCAAGAACACTGGGCCTTGGGAGGCAAACAGAAACCGACCCTGCGCTGACCCTGCGCTACCCCCTACCACAGGCACTCTTGGCTGGTGGAGAGCAGGGCTCTGAGGGCAGTGTGGACAGGTCAGCGGTCAGCCATGAGCTGATGGCCACCGTGTATTCCACACAACCTGGCTCCTCTGTTCCAAGACAGGGCCTTGCGCTCTTGGGCCGGAGTTTGACAGCGTGAGAAGCTACTTTGCAGAGCAAGGTGGCTGTCGGGCTGCGAGGCTGTGGGCGGCCATGTCCCCGCCCCGCCCCTGTCCCAGGTGGGCGCTTACCCGAATCCTCCCGCGCTGGCGGCCGCAGTGCCCTCTCCGAACACTTTGCCTCCCGTCGAGCCCAGAGGGCTTGTAAAGGCTGGGGCTGAACCGAATGCTGGCACCCCTCCAAACCCAGGGGATCCCCCGAAAGTAGGAGGGCTGCCAAACACTGGAGCAGCACCGAAGCCACCTGAGCAAAACAGAGGCAAACAAACAGAAACGGGGAGAAGGAAAGGAGCAGGAGGAGAGGACGTGAGCGGTCAGAAAGCAAAGCAAAAGGGAAGGGGAAGAGGAAAACAGCACGTTACAGATGAACACAATGCAAACAGGGCCACACTGCCCGCCCCCCACTTAAACCAGAATGTGGCAGCCCCTCCCAGCCCGACTCCTGCTTTCTGGGGGCTCGTGAGAGTGGACCCCCATTACAGCATGGCCCTCCAATGCTGGGGTCCCAACCTGGTGGCGAAAATGCCAAGTGTACCACCATGGCCAGCTGCAGACTGGACAGAAGCCCAAACTGTGAGACTGGAGGCTGGCATTCCCGCCCCGCCAGAACCCACGAACTGGGTCAGGGCGGCCGTGAGCCCTGCCTGGCGCCCGGCCAGGAGCTTCTGATTTATTTACAGCCCGGTGGCTGCCCCGCGCACGCGTGCATCGGTGGCCCTCTTTCTTGGCACTGAAGCCTTTCTAAAAACGCTTGCTCCCTCCAGTCAGAGGCCATTCGTGGAGAGTGATGTCCCTCTTCTGCGGCGGGCACCGCTCCCACTGACCATCAACTGTGGGACGACGCGTATGAGTGCCAGGCGCCCTTGGGCAGGGACTGCTGCGGGTGGCCACGGAAGGGGGTGAGGCCAGGTTCTGGGGAGGGGGCGTAGGCCTGCTAAGTTTCCCCTGATCCCCAGGCCCCTCACCCCCAAACCTACATACAGCCTGCCGCAGAGCCAGCGGAGGACCATGGCGCCAGGATCCTGCTCTCTGGGGACCTCTCTTGGCCTCTGGGGTGTCACCGCACCACCACCTGACCCAGAAGGACCACACACTGGGTGTGCACAGCTGCCCGCTGAACTCAAGTGAGCTGCTATCTTGCATGGAGGTGCCTGCGTAAGCCCTCATGTAAATTCCAAGCCCCGAGAGGGGAAACGGGCGCATTACAACTACAACAGGCTGGGAAGAACAAAAAGCGCCAAACCCCTCGCGGCTGAATTATTGAGGACTGACACCGATCTGGTTACGCGTTCTTCCAGACACCCAGGCCCGCATCGGTGGCCTCCTCTAGGTGAGGTGAAGGAAGGGGGTGAAAAGTGAGAAGTCACAACAACACAGAGAGTACCTGGGCAGGAGGGCACACGCACGCTCCGTGCGGCAGCATGGCAGTCACTACGGGCTTAGCTCTGGAGTCAGTGACCTATGCCTCACGGTGCCTGGGGTTCAGGTTTACTGGGAGCTTTGCAACCTCCTCCTGGAGGACTCGAGGCTCGGGATCCGCCTCTCTGCTCTGAGTGAGCGGCGGCGGAGCTGGGACTGGAAGGTCTGCGAGACCCCAAATCCAGCTCGCACCTGGCATGTGCCAGTCTCCCGCGGCCACTGTGCCCAACACCTCTGGTGATCACGAAGCAGGGATGCAGACCCCCGAGCCCACGGGCAGGCTATCCTGGTCTGCCTCCCCTCCTGGCCAGCAGCAGTGTCACTTCAGAGGCGCATGTGCTAGAGGGAGGCTGGACACCTGGTGTAAAGCTCCAAGGTGAACCTGCGGCCCTGCTGCTACGGCGCCCCGTTGCACCCCTCACTTCTCACCTGTGTGTCTTTTTGCCAGTCCTGGGGCTTGAACTCAGGGCCTGGGCACTGTCACTGAACTCTTTTGCTCAAGGCTAGCCTCTATCACTTCGAGCTGCAACTCAAGCTTTCGGTTTTCTGGCAGTTCAATGGAGATAAAGAGTGTCATGGGCTTTTCTGCCCGGACTGGCTTTGGACCACAGTGCTCAGATCTCAGCCTCCTGAGTGGCTAGGACTGTAGGCGTGAATCACCAGTGTTCGGCTTGGGATCGCATTTCTAGTCTCTTTTAAATTCTAGGAAAAAAATTAAGAACTTCCAATCTAAGACCAGGCACCAAGCCAAAGCTACGAGGACAAGCACACTCTCCTTTGGAAATGAGCTTCTAAAAGCAAGAGTCTGCTTTCTGGTTTAGGGAGGCCCAGGCCTTAGCCACAGCCACTTAGACACCTGGCCCTCAGGAAGGGTCTTGCTCAAAATACTCCATCCCTCTGAGCACAAATGCCACCAAAGAACCCACAGAGAGCCTGCTTTGAAGAGGGGCTTTCTCACTGGGCACTGGTGACTCACACCTAGCTACTCAGAAGGCTGAAACCTGAGGATCACAGCTCAAAGCTAACCCAGACAGAAGTCTGTGAGACTCCATCTCCAAAATAATCAAAGCTGGAGTTGTAGCTCAGGTTGGCAGAATGCCAGCTGAGCAAGTCACGCTCTTGTATCTAAACATCTACTGCCATTGGAGTTTTTTTGGCCAATCCTGGGGCTTGAACTCAGGGCCCGGGCACTGACGCTGAGCTTCTTTTGCTCAGGCTACCACTTCAGCCACAGCACCATTTCTGGCTTCTTCTGTTTATGTTTATATCGAGGAATCGAACCCAGGGTTTCATGCATGCTAGGCAAGCACACCACCACTAAGCCACATTCCTAGCCTGCCCTCGGAGATTTTAATTGCAGATGTGTAGAACAAACACTTCAAGTTATGTGGGGCTAAAACACTGTGCTATTAACATGCTTTTCACCTGTGCCAAAGAACAGAGCTGCATGCCATATAGGGAATGCTTGGTAGAGGGCAAAACACAGATGTAAGAAGCCAGACTGCTGGTCCTGGTGGCTCACACCTGTCATCCTAGCCACTCAGGAGGCTGGCATCTAAGGATCACTATTTGTGGGGCTGGGAAGGTGGCTCAGTGGTAGAGCGCTTGCCTTGCATGCCTGAGGCCCTGGGTTTGATTCCCCAGCAACACATAAGCAAAAAGAAAAAAAGCCGGAAGTGCCACTGTGGCTCAAGTGGTAGAGTGCTAGCCTTGAGCTGAAGAGCTGAGGGACAGTGCCCAGGCCCAGAGTTCAGGCCCCACGACCGGACCCCCCCCCCAAAAAAAAATAAGGATCACTACTTGAGGATAGGTGGGACAGTAAAGTCTGGGAGAATTTTACCTTCCATTCACCAGCCAAAAGTCAGGGCATGGCTCAAATGGTAGAGTGCCTGCCTTGAGTAGAAAAGCTAAGAAGACAGTGCTAGGCTTTGAGTTCGAGTCCCTAGTACACACCCATGCACACATACACACACAGAACTGTGTATGTGAACACCAGGAGCAATCAGGTGTGTTCTTGTGTGTGCTGTAGTTGTCAGCTCTGACGTGCTCCTCTCTGGGTGCTTCTGTGACAGTGGACACTGCTAAGGACGACTCCTGAGACTGCGTGCTCCTCGGGCTGCAGTCCCATTTTTAACCACTTCACACGCATTGGGAAGGAAGCAATGAAATGAGCACAGAGACGTCCTCCGCTCTGCGGCCCCCGTCTGCCTCCTGATACCCAGGCAGAGGCAGCACATGCGCGCACATCATGCCGGCACCTGTTTTACTGGGTGTGGAGAAGCCGAAGCCCTGGGACGCCACACTTCCGCCTCCAGAGCTGAACGTGCCGGCCGGCTTCTGCTCTCCAAACGATGAGCTGCCGAACCCGCCGAAGGTCTTCGCCCCGCTGTTTCCAAACAGGTTGGAGGTATCTGGGGAGAGAGGGACCAGAGGGGCTCGGCGGCACAGCCAAGACGGCGGCTTGCTGGCCTCACTCCGCCAGCACCAGACAGGGGAGCGGCGGCCCTGCTGGAGAGGGTCTGCGGGAGGCCCCGCGCCCCCAGGGGCACTCAGAGCCCCAGGTCTACCTCAGGTCTGGGGCCTGGAAGACGGTCTGCCTTCCTCCCTGTGCTAGTGACATGAACGCTTGAGTGGCTGCGGAGGGCGCGGGTGGAGGGAAGCCCTGCGCGCCGGCCCAGCCCAGCAAGGCCTTGCAGCTCATCTTTTTTTTTTTTTTTTTTGGTTGGTCATGGGGCTTGAACTCTGGGCCTGGGTGCTCTACCACTTGAGCCACAGGGTCACTTTGGTTTTGCTTTCGGTTTTGTTTTTTGTTGGTCACAGGGCTTGAACTCTGAGTCTGGGTGCTATTCCTCAGCTTCAGCGAGTGCTCTACCACGTGAAGAACCACAGTGCCACTTCCAGTGTTCTATTGGTTTATTGGAGATAAGAATCTCACAGACTTTCCTGTCCAGGCTGGCTTTTTTTTTTTTTTTGGGGTCCGGTTGTGGGGCCTGAACTCTGGGCCTGGGCGCTGTCCCTCAGCTCTTCAGCTCAAGGCTAGCGCTCTACCACTTGAGCCACAGCACCACTTCGGGCTTTTTTCTTTTTGCTTATGTGGTGCTGAGGAATCGAACCCAGGGCCTCGAGCATGCAAGGCAAGCGCTCTACCACTGAGCCACCTTCCCGCCCTCCAGGCTGGCTTTGAACCGTGGTCCTCAGGTCTCAGCCTCCTGAGTAGCTAGCATGACAGGCGGGAGCCACCGACGTCTGGCTTCATCTCCTCTTTCTAGGAGGTTCACTAAGGCCCTGGACCTTTCTGATGCCGGGTTAGCGGGTCCCTCCTGCCTGGGGAGAGGTGCTGAACGTGCTCTAGGGAGGGAAGGGCAGAAGGAAGGGATTCTCTTCGGATGAGGGCAGGGACTCTTGTTTGCTGCAGAAATGAGGACTGTCTCACACTTGAAACATCGGGACTTAACTTCAGACCTCACTCTATCTTCTCGAGAGTGTTGGTTGTTAAGATTCATTCCCGCCTGTGACAGGGCAGGGAGAAGCTATTCGGAGACTGGGTGGACGCCCAAGCCACTGGTGTGCACGTCAAGGTGCCCAGCCCTGGTCCCCAAGTGAGCAGCGCCCTCGCGCACTGCAGGCTGACGGAGGGGAGGCGGGAGCGCACGCCCTCACTTGCGGAAGAGAGCTGCCAGAGCTTCAGCTTAGGGCTCAGGGCCCCACACTCTCATTTGCTGTTTCTGCTCAAGGCTGGTGCTCTATCACTTATTGGAGCCACAGCTCTACTTAATGCCTTTTTGGTGGTTACCTAGAGAGAGGAGTCTTACAGATTTTCTTGCCTGGGCTGGCTTTGGACCAGGATCCTCAGATCTCAGCCATTTGAGTAGCTAGGATTGCAGCCATAAGCCACTGGAACTCAGCTATAAAAACATTTTTTTTTTTTTTTTTTGCCTGTCTTGGGTGGGCTTGAACTTGAGCCCACATGCTACCCCTAGGCTTTATTTGGTCTAGCCTCATACTCTATCACTAAAAGCCTCGGCTCCACTTCTGGCTTTTTGGTGGTTAATTGGAGATTAACCAGACTTTCCTGTGTGGGCTGCCTTCAAATGGTGATCCTCAACTCTCAGCCTCCTGAGCAGCTGGGATTGTTTTGTGCCCTGGGAAGGGCCTCTCGCAGGGCCTCCACAGAGCTTGGCCAGCGCCTCCTGTGGGCCTCGTGGGCAGTGGTGCTCACCGACAGGCCTCCCCCTCCTCCTGACGCAGGGAGAGGACGGGTGTGCAGGGGCTGCCTCAGTGTCCCCAGGACAGGATCGGGAAGTGCCAGGCCCCTCTGGGGGACAGCCCATGGAGGCTGAACTGTAACCATGCAGGGGCTACAGAGGAGCAGCAGGGGAAACTCTGACAAGACAGCCCGTGGCTATGCGCTGGCGTCCCCCGTCACTCCTCTCAAGGTTGAAGCGGGCGGTGGGCGGGCCAGCAGCCCATGCATGGCCGCCACAAGGCATCTGTATAAGCAGGTGCACAGAACAAGGACTGCCAGGCAGAGAGGAGCAGGGCTGGGAAAGACCCTACCTACACCCTGCTGTGCCACGTAGTACCCAGGCATCTCCTACCCTCCTGTCCTCTAAGACAAAACCAGTCAAGTGGGGCCAGCCACATCGCCACAGCGGCTGACTAGCCCAGGTGTGCAGTGCCCGGCACACGGCACGAGCTGCTACCTCAGCCCCCGCCTCCGGTTCCACCCCGCACCCAGCTGCAAGACCTGCAGCTTTCCCGCGGCCAGGGCCCGGGGTGAGCGGCAGACGCCAGGAGGGCAGCAGCTGACAGCTGGCTGAAGTGGGGGGGGGGGCAGGCTGGGGCACTGGGGTCTCCAGCCTGGATTTTAACCTGCAGTCATCAGCAAGAAGCGACAGAGGCTCTGGGGAGGAAGAGTGCAAAGTAAAAGCAGCTGAAAAATCCTGGACTTAAGATGGATTCCTGGCCACGCACTGTGTGTGTGTGTGTACGTGCGTGCATGTGTGTTGATGGGGGGGAGGGGAAGGTGTCAAAGGTCGGAGGGGAGGTAGGGTGAGGACCAGCATGACTCTCGGCAAAAGATGGTCTGAGGGACCATGAGAGGGACAGTGGGGAGCCGGGAGCTCGCACAGAGGAACGGGGGGGGGGTATGAGTGGCTGGGAGCAGGGCAGAGCTGGAACATGGGCTCTGAGTCCAGAACTGCAGTGATGCTCTCACCTCCTAGCACAAGAAAGCTGAGACTCGTGATGGAGCAGAAGGCACAGGACAGGACAGGGACGCCGCGCCCCCGGCTCCTCAGCCATTTCTCCTGGCCTGTCTTTTCTGCGGGGCGCTGGTGGCTCAAGCCTGTAATCCTAGCTGCTCAGGAAGCTGATATGTAAAGACTGTGGTTCAAAGCCAGCCCAGGTAGGAAAGTCTGTGAGACTTTTATCTCCAATGAACCACCAGAAATGCTGGAAGTGGATCTTAAAGTAGACCACTATCCTTCAGCACAAAAAGCTCAAGGATAAAGCCTAGGCTCTGAGTTCAAGCCCTAAGATGTCTGTCTGTCTCTCTTCCATCCCTTCAAAAGTCAGCTAAGAGTACCAAGTATAATTACGAGTGAACATTTAGGAGATGAAGACCAGACCGGCTAAGAACTAGAGCGTCTGGGGACAGGAGGAGTCCTGGGGTACAGTGCTGTTCCACTCCCACCCGACTTGAGGCTACTGAGGTGGTGGCACTGGGCATGGGCTGGGGGCATGCACAGCCAGCGCACAAGAGCCGGTGGTGTGCCAGCTCCGGCTGCCTTCTGAGGGACGGGCACTCGGCCAGCCGAGAGCCATGGCTTTAGAGATGAGCGAGCCGGGGAGAGCCATGACACACTCGCGCATGCTATCAAGTGCCCGTTCCTGTCAGATGTAGCGCTGCATGTTATCATGTGAGTGAGGTGGGCTTCGGATCAGCCACTTTCTGATTCTGACAGCCAGGCGAACTACTCCTGTGAACCTTTGGGTTCTTGACCTCTGCTTCGGCAAGAACCTGCTTTTGTTTTACTTATCAGGATTCTGCTTAAACAGTGTTTGAAAACAACTAGATGTGATTTCTTGGATCCCTTCATTCCAGAGTTCTAAATCTCTCCTGGCAGACTACGACCTGAAAAGCAACAAACTCTGATTATGTAACCTCACGAGGGAAGAGCAATGCATCTCAGAGCAAGCAACCTTTCACTTTGAGCTCGCTGGAGTGGACGTCACAGGGATGGGTTATTGATCAGAGAGCAAAGCAGGGTGGAGAGTTTCACTGTTACACCCACCACTGTGGGAGACTGAGCTCAGGATTGCTAAGGTCTGGCTCAGCAAAGTGGCTGGAGATGCAGCACATGACACCAGAGAAGCTAAGAGGAAAATGACAGCCCAAACTCTCAATCTCAGCCTCAGCAGCAGAATGAACACTTACAAAAAAACGTTTCAAACATCAGCAGCAGAAGAAAGTGCCAAGAGGTACAGCTTCTGATAAAAAGCAATAAAAAAAAGAAGTTGAGATGAACTAAGGGCTTCAGCTTCCCCACAGCTGGAGTTCAAAGCACACGCAGCATGCAATGCAGATGCAAGCCCGTGTGTGCCTGGCTTCTGCGGCCTGCCTGCACTTGCTTCAGGGCACCTCAACACTGAGACAGAGGTGGGGACAGAAGACAGCAGACAGGCCATTTCAGTGTACCAAGCCTCTCCCCGCAGCTCTTGTGTCTTTTCATGACTATATAGGGTATCTTATTAGAAACCAAACCGGTTGGGTGCTGGTGGCTCACGCTTGTAATCCTAGCTACTTAAGAGGCTGAGATCTGAGGATCTCGGGTAGAAGCCAGCCCATGCAGTTAAGTCTGTGAGACTCTTATCTCCAATTAACTACCAGAAAACCAGAAGTGGAGTTGTGGCTCAAAGTGGTAGAGCACTAGCTTCAAACGAAAGAGCTCAGGACATTGCCTAGGTCCTGAGTTCAAACCCCATGACTACCACCATGACCAACAAAGCTGGTAGGTACTAGTAGCTCATGCCTATAATCCTAGCTACTCAGAAGGCTAAGACGTGAGGATCTAGTTCAAATCCAGCCTGGGCAGGAAAGTCCATCAGACTCTTACCTCCAATTAATCACTAGAAAACTGGAAGCAGCACTGTGGCTCAAAGTGATAGAGCACTAGTTTTGAGCACAAGAACTCAGGGACAGGGGGCTGGGAAGGTGGCTCAGTGGTAGAGCGCTTGCCTTTGCATGCACGAGGCCCTGGGTTCAATTCCTCAGCACCACACAAGCAGAAAAAACCAGAAGTGGCTCTGTGACTCAAGTGGTGGAGTGCTAGCCTTGAGCTGAAGAGCTGAGGGACAGCGCCCAGGCCCAGAGTTCAGGCTCCATGACTGACAAAAAATAAAAAAATAAAGAGCTCAGGGACAGTGCCCAGGCCCCAAGTTCAAGTCCTCCAACGGACAAAACAACAACCTCCCCTCCCAACCCAAATGACCGCACTGCTTTGTGGTAGGATTTTAAATGGGCCTGCTAGGTCCTCTACCCACTGTGTATCTGTCCCTGAAGCTCTGCCAATGCCAGGAGGATGACACCGGCAGCAGGGGCTGGGGAAAGGCTTCCCTACTTACTTGGGGTGGCTGTAGATCCAAAGCTCCCGCTGGCCGAGCTGAACGGGTTTTTGTTGGCTGCGTCCTGGCTGGGTTTTCCTCCAAGGCCGCTGAAGAAGCCTCCTCCTCTCCCAGCGTTTCCAGACCCGAACACGCTCCCGCTGGAAGTGGGGGACTGCTAGAAAACAAAGGGGCAGGATGAGAGGCCACTGTGAAACGACAGGCCACGTCCGTGGCAGGAGGCAGGGCAGGATGAGAGGCCACTGTGAAACGACAGGCCACGTCCGTGGCAGGAGGGCACACATGGAAAAAGCAAGAGGACTTGATTAGCTTTGGAAGGGACGCCCAACAAGCCCAGGAGAAGCAGGGCCCTGGCCGGGGCTTCCTGTACGCAGCGGTTCCCAAGCTCATGCGTGGTAGGCGGGGACTGTCTGTGCTGCTCGCTTGCCCTGTGGTGTCTGACACCATGCCAGGGTGGGCAAAGCAATCCCCCAAGAGCTTCACCAAATGAAGAAGTTGGAAAATGATTTAGACCACCCGAGCACCACTTGTTCCTTCTAATCTTTGGCTGAACTCATTGGTAGCGGGTGGCGAGTGATTTTGTCATTTCTCTAATGTGCACATGGGATTCCGGACAGCTCTGCGCGCGTGGCAGGAGCTCTGACTCCGCCACACGTCAACTCCGAGCTGCTCCAAGCACCGCACTTGATTTCTGTGGAAACTGGTTCTTTAAGGACATCCAGGAGGGAGGTGTTCCCTTTGATGAAAGCTGACCTCAGAAATGGGCAGCCGCGCAGGAGGCTGTGGATGGCCCATCCGGGGGACAGTGGTGCTGTAAGATGGGGTTAGCACACTGCCCACCTCAGGCTGGAGAGTGAATCCAACGAGCTCAGAGATGAACTTGCCTCACACAGCAGTGCCCGAACGAGTCACCTGCTCAGAAACCTGGCTGCTGGTTAAAATGACGGCAGTGTCCCTGTGCTAGGGACTCTGTCTCATCCTGCTCTGCCTGGCACACCCAGCTGTCACCCTGGGCCGAGACTAAGGCAATATGTAACGCGTCGGGGGTAGCTCCTCACTTCTGTTCACAAGTGCCATGATCCCTGACTCACCTCTGCCACACCAAAGAAGTGCCAGCACTCTAGGCTGTCTTTTGGACCCCAAACACAAAAAACAAACTCTAGCCTTCTCCAGAGTTCTAATGTGTTTTCATTTTTTTGTTTCATTTTTTTTTGGGGGGTCCAGTTGTGGGGCCTGAACTCTGGGCCTGGGTGCTGTCCCTCAGCTCTTCAGCTCAAGGCTAGCGCTCTACCACTTGAGCCACAGCGCCACTTCCGTTTTTTTCTTTTTGCTTATGTGGTGCTAAGGAATCGAACCCAGGGCCTCAGGCATGCAAGGCAAGTGCTCTACCACTGAGCCACCTTCCCAGCCCTTCTAATGTGTTTTCAATCTCTTTCTTACTGTCCTTGAACTCATCAGCTCAAGGCTAGTGTTCTACCACTTGAGCCACAGTGCCACTTTCAGTTTTCTGGTGGTTTATTGGAGGTAAGAGTCACAAACTTTCCTGCCTGGGCTGGCTTTGGAACTGTGATCCTCAGATCTCAGCCTCCCGAGTAGCTAGGATGACAGGCGTGAGCCACCAGCGCCTGGCTTAGTCTCTTCAGACTTCTTTAAAAATGACAGGAATTCAAGCAGCCATTCGGGGGCGAGGAGCTTTGCACAACTAGAATCCAATCATGAAAGCCAAAGCTTTGCTAAGGGCTGAGCAGGAAACCATGACGACTGAGGAACTCATGGATAGTGTGAGTCTGGGCAATGCTGAGGACCAGCCCGGCCTTCTACAGCTGTCCACAGAAACAAGCAGGGTGGGTCTGAACATACTTCATGAGGCAGAAGGAGCCAGCAGTTATGGCATCCTCAGGGCAGGTACTGAGCACAGGGCAGTTAAGGCATCATCAGGACGGGTACTGAGCGTACTTTACTGAGTGAATGAGTCCAGCAGGTACTGCATCCTCATAAACGCACTCAACAGAACCCCATCCATTGCGATGGAAATAAACAACAGCATTTTAAAATTGAAGTTATAGCAAATTGAACAAGTGCACAGAAAGTTCAATTTTTTGGTCGTATTCACTCTGCTGTTACACTTTTCCAACCACTTTTCACTTTCTTTTTTAAACTTCCAAATCTCTGCAGAGATGCTATCTATATTCAACTATTTTTTCCAATATTTTCTTGTAAATCCTAGAGCACAGCAGCTATTTTTAAGTTGTTGTCTCTAGTTCTAACATTTGGATTATCTCGCGGTTGTTACTTGCTGACTTAAAAAAAACTGATTGCAAGCTGGGCACTGATGGCTCATGCTTATAATACTAGTTACTCAAAAAGCTAAGATTTGAGGATCACAATTTGAAGCCAGCCTGGGCAGGCAGGCCTATGAGACTCTTTATCCCCAATTAAAAAAAAAAAAAAAGCCAGAAGTGGAGCTGTCGTAAGAGTGCTAACTAGCCTTAACCACAAAAGTTCAGGGTTAGCACCCTAGCCCTGAGTTCAAGATTTAGGATTGGTAAATGCAGTGGTCCAACTGTCTTCTGCCTGTCTTTATAACTGAGAGAGGTCAGCCTGTCAGCCCAGCCAGAGCTGCTGTGAGTCTTTTTATTTTTGTTGCCTGTGCTCTCTCTCACTGTGATAGCAGATTTTCTTCCATGCACTCTGACATGTGCTGGCTTTGGGAATTTTCAGTCCTTCACTCTTCTAATACAGCAACACATATTCTCCCTTTCTCTTCTGGAGCTCTGGCTAAATACATTAGATTTTCTGCTTGGTGCTTCCTTTTTTCTCTCTCTAAAGCATTCAGTGTATTTCTTCTCTTTCAAGAGCCAGCGAATTACAGTTTTGGGGCCCAATCTTATATATGCTGTGTTTTTTCTGTTTTTTTTTTTTTCTTTTGGGTTTTTTTGTTTTTGTTTTTGGTCAGTCATGGGTCTTGTACTCTTGGCCTGGCGCTGTCCCTGAGCTCTTCAGCTCAAGGCTAGAGCTCTACCACTTGAGCCACAGAGCCACTTCTGGTTTACTGGTAAACCTGTGTTTGTAAATGAAACTTTACTTGTGTTGTACATTGTGAGATGAGGCTGCTTTGTGCTGCAGCCAGGGCTGCGCAGCTGTGAAAGAAACTGAACGCAGTTCTCAGCCCCGAACACTGACCCACTGAAATTTTATTACACTTCTCTACAAGTTCTTCTTGGTTCATCTTCAAAGTTGTTATATATGCTTTGTACAGCTTCCTATTCTTTACAGGCATTTTGAAGTTTGCCTTTCATTTCTCTTAAGCATGTAGAACAGTTGTGCTTTATAGTCGAGCAGTCTCTGCAAGTTGTTTCTGGTGTTTATTTTGGCTCTGGCTCGTGGCTGCTGTGGGAATCGGCATCCCAACGGTCACTCCTAAGTCTAATGGGAGTTTAGAGCGAATGAATGTGCTGTCAGACATCTGGAGGCACCACTGTCCGGGGGGCCACGTACACAGGGTGAGCTCCAGGAATCTGAGTCCCCTGTAAGTGTGGGAGAACATCACCTTTGTATGCATTTTAGTATTTTCTGCTCCTTTTACCGCGAGGCTCCTTAAATACAAAGTTCAAAGTTTCTCAGGTTAACGAAGTCCTTGGGGCAGAAATGGCATCTGTGCTTACTTTCCTCCTCTAGGTTCCCGTTTTCCTGTGAATCTGGCTTGGTGAAATACCATATTAGCTTTGAAGACATGACTTCTGGTTTCATCTCATAGTTTCCGTCGTGATCTGGTTTGAATGACTTAGGTTCCCATTACCAGATGTGGAAATCAGAAGTTTCATTTCTCTCTTTTGAGAAAGATCACGGAGGGCTGGGGAGAAGCCCTGGGTTCAATTCCTCAGTACCACAAAAGCAGAAAAGGCTGGAAGCGGCACTGTGGCTCAAGTGGTAGAGTGTTGTCCTTGAACACAGAGAGGTTCAGGGACAGTGTCCACGCCCTGAGTGCAAGGCCCAGGACCGGCAAAAAAAATAAAAAAGGAAGATCACCGACTAGGGCAGAGCCCATCTGCCAAGCCAGGGGTTGATAAAACCTCTGAGGAGCAGGCCGCCGGTGGCTCATGCCTATAATCCTAGCTACTCAGGAAGCTGAGATCTAAGGATCTCGGTTCAAAGCTAGCCCAGGCAGGAAAGTCCGTGAGACTCATCTCCAATTAAGCACCAGAAAACCGGAAGTGGTACTGTGGCAAGTGGTAGAGCGCTCGCCTTGAGCTGAAGAGCTGAGGGATAGCGCCGAATCCCGGAGTTCAAGCCCCATGACGGACAAAAAACAAACAAAAAAACCTCTGAGGAAGATCACCCTGCCTACCAGTTAGGTACTCACTGCTCTGTAGTCATGCGCCCTAACTGCCCTTACAGCCGCGCCCTCTTTCCATGTCACAGACACCTTCCTTCTGAAGGGAGGGCTTCTCAGGAGGCAGTCAGGGTGCATGCTGGACTTCACTGTTCTCATCTTTCAAATGGGAGCAACCACCGCTCCCATCCCTAGAGTAGCTGTGATGATGCGTTTGAGTCATTCAACAAGGCACTTACAAGGATGTGCGGGCCTTGCTGGCACACAGGGGTTGTTGCTGGATCAAGAACAGCAGCTCAGGGCACCTGGAGGAGGCCCAGGACTGCAAACAGCTCAGCACAGTGGCAGCATGTAGTGTCCACTGTACCTTCTCCCACCAGCCCCAGCAACCACTTAAAAATGTAAAAACCATTCTTAGCTTACGGTCTTTAAAGGAAACAAGGCCTACAGGTAGACCTGGCCTGAGGATTGCAGTTTGACAACCCCTGGCCTAATAAAACAGGCAGAAGATTGACTGAAGGCAGCAAGTCCTTCCCCCAGGACTGACAACAGATGAAGTCCTGGTGGTTGGCTCTCTGTAATGCAAGGTGGCAGCCGCTTGTCTGCCCTCAGGGCAGCTTAAGCAGCACGCATGGCTGTCTGCTGGGCCTGGCCTGGCCACATAGCATAAACTGACTCGGTTACACTGGGGAGAATGGGGGGAGATGTGGACATGCACGGAGACAGAATATATTTACCTGGCCAAAGACTGTTCCACCAGTATTGGCGGCTTGACCAAACACAGAACCAGTGTTACTAGATCCGAAACCTACAAAACACAAAGAAAACAAAAGTTCAACTTGGATGAGTCTTAAACAGTAAAGACATTAAAAAAAAAAAAGGCATGCAAGTGTGCTGTTACCCTGCCACCAATCAACTTGAGTGAAAGTGCTGCCTCGCTGAGCACACCAGTTCCTGTGTCCTCCAGACCCTGTGAGGTAGCAGCACGCCTGCACAGAGGCTGCACCACCCGCCATCTTCTTTCTGTAAATCACCTCGATTGCTTACAGCACGCAGTGCAGTGCAAATGCCTGCCCAGCCCCCATGTTCTCTAACTCATCTCTGGATTACTTACAATGCCCAGTACAACATACATGGTACCTAAGTAATTGCTGTATTATTTAAGCAATAATGATAAGAAAAACTCTGCATATGTCAGCACAGTCTGGTTTCTGGTCAGTTATTTTTGCTCTGTGGCTGTATCTGTAACTGTGGAATTCAGAGGCCTGACTTGATAGCTTTTTATAATAATCTTTCTCTTTTACCAATGGATGTGGGTCAGTAAGATGGCATAGTCTCAGAGAAGCTTCTCCTGGGACTTAGCCACCAAGAATGCTTTCCAATCACTAGCATTATAGATACTTTTCTTCCCTACTCACCGGCACCTCAACCTCCCAGGTGACAGAATGCATGGTGGAGACGCTGGGCTGATGAGGGCCAGGATAGTTTGGCAGAATGACACACTGCAGCAAAGAGCTGGAGATCTGTGCTCGTTCCTGATACTGACCGAGCAGGTGAGCTTGTGCGGAGGGCTGGAGGGCAGCGCGCAGCCCTCCACACAGCACGAAAGGGAAGAGGGCCAGTTCTTCAGGGGCTCTGAATCTGGTCACTTGGCTTGCTATGCAGATTTTCTTGATATCTGACTGCAGAAGCAACAGTGTACGAGAGACGGGGGCAGTGCAGGGCACCCTGTAGCCTTCTATTTGTCCCCACAGGGGACACACCAGCCTATCTCAGGCCTCAGGTGAACCTCAAAACTATCTCTTTACCACTGTGTCCTCCTTACAGCTGAACTTGGTAACAACTTAACATGCACTGGAAGAGGGAAAACATTTCCATCCTAATCAATCCTAAGCCACTTTTGAATTATCATCCTCATAATGAATGAACATTTCATTATTTCCCCCCAGAGCTTAGCTGCTGAAGGGCTGCCTTTCATTATGGAAGCATCAGAAGCCACACAGGACAGTCCTGGCACTGCTCTGTCTACTGGTGGCTTTTAGAAGTAAACATAGATGCTAAATTGGAGATATAATGCTGAAGCAGGTTTTGTTCTTTGAAACATAGTGAAACTGTTAGAAAACATTATGATACTGAAAACAAGTAGAACTCAGCTCCTCAAATGGTAAGATCCACTCTTCAGGCAAGCAAGATGGTGCCACAGGAAATAAGTAAAGGCCTACAGAGGAGGTGGTGAGGAGCCCGCTGCTCCTCCGACTTACAGCCAGCTCTGGCTCACGTGAGCTCGGCCTCCAGGGCCCTCGTGGGGACTCCCAGCCTCTAACAAGCCTCTCCAATGGAAAGGTTCACCACTCTGAGCCACCAAGTTACTTGCCATGACTTCAAATTAAAGATAGTTGGTTTTTCGCCGTGGAATTGGCAGTATGGTAGCTATCAGAGTAGAGCCTGCTGGGGAGGAAAGCTGGAGCTAGGCCGGGCCTGCAAGCTCCGACCCGGCCGGAGCATCTCCCAGGACTGCGGGTGCTCCCGGCACCCTTCTCAATCTGACACGTTCTCTTTCGCTCCCTCTCCCTTTCTTTCAATGACACAGCAGTAAGCTTGCTGCCAATGCTCCAGATGGTCCAGGGAGGAACAAAGCAATAATCCGCTGCACACTCTTACCTGAAGCTTGACAGAAGCTAAACCCCGAGAGTGCCGCTGTGGACGTGGTGGCCGAGGTGCTGCCGAACACTGTGCCTCCCTGCCCAAAGCTGGGGCTCTGGCCGAACGCGGGAGCGTTGCTCTGGCCAAACAGCCCCCCGCCCGTGTTGGTAGAAGACTGTCCGAATGAGAAGGAGCCAGAGCTGCTGGCGCTCGAGGAAGCTCCGAAGACATTTCCCGTGGTGGACGAGGGGGTGGAGGACACGGCCTGGCCAAAGGCGGGCCCAGAACCGAACCCAGGCTGGTTGAAGGAGAAGCCGCCTGCCGAGCTGCTCGTGGCCTGTCCAAAGGCCGGGGCCTGGCCAAATGTCGCCTGTCCAAAGGCCCCGGAAGCAGAAGTGCCGAAGGCAGGGCTGCCAAACCCTGGGCTGCTGGCCTGTGGTGTGGTGGCGGCAGTGCTGGCGATGCTGCCCGTCTGCTGCCCGAATAGGCTTGGTGCGGTGCTGGCCGCCACCTGACCAAACACTGGGCTGGCCGCGGGGGCAGAGGCCGTGCTGCTGGAGAGCTGGCTGAACGCCGAGCTGACAGCGGGTGGCGGGGTGAAGACTGAGGAGCCCGAAGTGACATTGCCAAACACTGCTGTGTCTGTGGTAGGGCCTGGGGCGGTGCTGGGCACGGTGCTGCTGCTGGTAGGGGCGCCTGCAGCTTCGACAGCCCCCGGGCCAGCAGCAGGGAGCGGAGCTGCTCCCACGGCGGCCTGTGTGGGGGCGGCGAAGGTGGAGGCGGGAGAGGCTGCCTCCGTCTTGACGTCGGGGCTCCCCACGGCCGCTGGGGTGGCCTCGGCAGAGGGGGCCGTGTGGCTGGCGGCAGATGCCGTGGTGCCGGGACTCCCGATTGCCGGCTGTGTGAGCACGGGTTCTTTTTTACTGGTGTCGGAGGCCGGCGGCGGAGGCGGAGGCTGAGGCTGGGCCGCTGCGGGCTGTGCTGGGAGTGAGGCTATGGGCGCAGAGGCCTCACCGTGGCCTGACTTCTCAGGTGCAGCCGATGCCTGGGGCTCTTCAGGGCTCTTTCCAGAAGACCCAGGCAGGGGGGAAGCAGCGGGCGAGCTCAGGAGGCTGCTGAAGGACAGGGTGGGGAAGGGCGCTGGGAGGGCAGGGGCCGAGGAGGCTGGCAGGGGGGCAGGCAATGAGCTTGGGTTACTGGTCTGCGGGCTTCCAAATGAAAAGCTAGACTTGCTGCTGCCCAGAGACATCCCCCCAAAACTGGCCACCCCAGCAGGTCCCGTGCTGCTGAGACTGCCAAAGACCGCAGTGGAGGAACCGCTGGCGCTGGTGCTGGGCGCCGTAGTGCTGGTGGGCGCGGAGGTGGCAGGGGGCTCGGCAGGCTTCCCTAATGCCGCAGAGCCCGGGAAGCTGAAGCCCGAGGACACGCTGGGCTTGGCTGGCTGGCCACCAGACAGGCTGGCGGGCGAAGCCTTACTGGGTGGCTTGGCAGAGTCCTCGGCCTGGCCCACCCGCAGGCCCGAGAAGCTGCCGAGCGTCTCCCCAGATGCAGAGCTTGGGAACAGCAGCTCTCCCCACTTGGACGGCGTCTCCAGCTTGCTGGAGGAGGTGGTGGCGGCCAGGGTGGCCCCGGGTGGGGCGGCTGGCCTGCTGCTGGACGCCGAGGACTCGGCTTCGGCAGGGGAAGAGCCCTCTGGGATGGGCTCGTAGAAAGGCTGGCCTCCCCCGCCCAACGACAACGTCTCCAGCTGGTTTGACTCTTTGGTGGCTGGTGTCACCGCTAGGCAAGAAACAGAAATTGAGAGATGGGTTAGACTCTGTAAAATACCACTTAAACAAGTTTCCACTGGCTTCTCTCTCCTCCAGGGTAGACAAGTTGTTCTAACAGTGGCACCCTCCCAGGGGGCGGGAGGGGATGAATGGAAACTTCCCCATGGAAGCATTAACCTGGCCCAGGCATCTCACTAGGTAGGAACAAACAAGTATGGTTTTTATGAACCAGAGAAAAACAGAAAAGGCACCTTGGCTACCTCAGCCCTGACCTGAGGGTGCTCTACCTCATACACCCCAGCCCGGCCTGGCAACACCTGACAGCTCTGCCTTTATTGCTCAAGGGCACAAAATGCCAACTACAGACCACACTGACATGCGGAGGAGCTACTCCTGACTCTAATCACTGGTGCTGTACTGAGCTCTTTATGGATTGCTGTCTCTTCTCACATTAGCTAAAAGGTGATGTGGAATTCCTATTTCATTTTCCTCACTATTTTTGACAATGATTTTGTTCCTTTCCAATCTTTTTATATCACGGTGGTGCTTTCCTGTACAAATGGGGGAGAAAGCAGGCCTCAGGGTGTATTGACACATTTCAGTTGTCAAAGGTTAAAAGAAGACCTTACACATTTCTGCTCATCAGAGAAAGGAATGAAATCCCTGACCTTTTCTGGGCCACGCTTGGATCAGGGTCAAGATGTCTACTATGGTTTCAGACCCCTGGCCCCTCTAACACTTTGGGTATTCTAACAAGCATTAAGAAAAGTATTTGTGGCGCACTATAGTGTATGCCTACAGTCCCAGCTAAGGACACAGGAAGATCATTTGAACCCAGGAGTTGGAGACCAGCCTGGACCACATAGAATGCTCCTACCTAATAATAAAATATAAAGCTGGGCACTAGAGTCTCACACCTGTAATCCTAGTTATTCAGGAGGTTGAGATCTGAGGATTCCAGTTCAAAGCCAGCCCAGGCAGGAAAGTCTGTGAGATTCTTAGTGGTGCTGTCGCTTAAGTGGCAGAGTGCTAGCCTTGAACTGAAGAGCTGAGGGCCAGAGCTCAGGTCCAGAGTTCAAGCCCCATGACCGACCAAAAAAATAAGTCCCACGGACTTTCCTGCCCTAGCTGGCTTTGAACTAGGATCCTCAGATCTTAGCCTCCTGAGTAGTTAGGATTACAGGCATGAGCCACCAGCGCCTGACTAGTTCTATCTTAATGTTAACATTTAAATGCTAATGGGTAGCCTTGACTTTCCAGAAGCAGATTCTCTCTTTGATCTGAACTGCAGAGCCCGCTGTGTTAGTTTCTTATACAGAACCCTGGGGGTGTTGCAGTGAAGCACGCACCGGCAAGCGGCCTGCTGACGTACCCAGCCCTTACGCCAAATGCTACGTAAGTCTTATCTATACAAAAATAACTGCGTTTGTTTAAGGAAACACAAAAGTGATCTATTCAATGCAGAGACTATACCTTGGGTGGCAGTGAAATTAGAAGACGGTGTTGGTGCAATTATCCCAAAATTAAAGCCAGCTCTGCCAAGTAAAAAAGAGACGTTAAAAAGCAACAAACCAAAGGCACATCTTCCTCTTAGTACTGCATGCTGCAATTCCTTCAGACCATCTGCCCCTGAGGACATATCTTAGGGACAATGCAACCACCTCAATATCTCCAAGGAGGGGGAGGCAATTTGTCAGGGAGGGAAGAGGGGCAGCAGGGGGAGGCCTTGGAAGCAAGGTGGCTTCTCAACGCAGAGGCCTGAGTGGAGACTGATTCCAAGTAGAGCAAAGGAGCAGCAGTGGGACAGCAGGCATGTGTACCAGAAACAGAAATTAGGGAAGCTGCTTGGCCAGTGCGGGAGTGGGGGAGAAACCTGGCCAGCAGCAGCAGCAGCAGACTAGAGTCAGAGTCCTCTCAGAGTCCTCCCATGGTCAAGGGGCAGGCCAAGTGAGCCCATGCTACTGAGACAGAGGCTGGATGGAATGCAATGGAAGCCTTGCCTCAGCAGCTTTGACAGAAGTGGTGGAACTCTATCAAAACTACAGACAACATATAATGTCTTCCCTCAAGCTGGGAAGGTGGCTCAGTGGTAGAGTGCTTGCCAAATATGCATGAAGCCCTGGGTTTGATTCCTCAGTACCACATACACAGAAAAATCCAAAAGTGGCGCTGTGGCTCAAGTGGTAGAGTGCCCTGGCCCTGAGTTCAAGCCCCAGGACTGGCCAAAAAAAAAAAAAAAGTCCTCCCTCCTTTTTCCCCCTGTTGGGCTGAAGGATATTCCTGAAAAACACTGAGGTCAGGGGAAAGGGGTGTGGCTAACGATTCCAGCCAGACAACAAAAAACTGAAAGCACTCAAGGGTATTCATTCAGTACAGGGCTTGCACTCAGGGCTTTGCGCTTGCTTCTGGCTGGCTGAGTGGAGCTCTACCCACTTGATTCATGACTCCAGCCTGGCTTTTTGCTGGTTATTTTAGAGATGAAGTCTCGAGGACTTTTCTGCCTAGGTGGCTTCTAACCATATCTGCCAGATCTCAGCTTTCTGAGCAGCTAGCTAGGATTACAGATGAAAGCCACCATGTGGTTGAAAGCAGCTTTTCTTTTTGTCAGCTGTGGGCCTGAACTTAGGGCCTGGGTGCTGTCCCTGAGCTTTTCGCTCAAGGCTAGCACTCTACCACTTTGAGTCATAGCACCACTTCCAGTTTTCTGGTGGTTAATTGGAGAAGAGTACTACAGACTTTCCTGCCTTGGCTTGCTTCGAATCACAATCCTCAGATCTCAGCCTCCTGAGTTAGCTAGATCTACAGGCATGAGACACCAGCACCTGGCTCTGAAGGGGCTTTGGTAATGGAAGTGAACACACAACCAGGTAATGGCAATGAATGTAGGGACAGGTGTGATCTCAACCCATCTAACTGCACCTGCATATAGCTGGAGAGCTGGCACTGGCTCCACAGTGAACAAGACTACCTTGTAAGGCTTAGAAGAGTCCGTCCTTTTATACAGTGACTCAGCTTTACACATATAGCCATCAGTATTTCTTTTTTCTTTTTTTTGGTCCTGGCACTTGAACTCAGGGCTTGGGCGTTATCTCTGAGCTTTTATGCTCAAGGTTGTTGCTCTACCACTTGAGCCACAGCTCCGCTTCCAGCTTTTTGGTGGGTAATTGTCTCATAGACTTTCCTGCCTATGCTGACTTTAAACCTTGATCCTTAGACCTGAGCCTCCTGAATAGCTAGGATTACAGGCATGAACCATTGACACCTGAAAGTATTT